CCTCCCCATCTTCTAGGTATGTCTTTCGAATAGCGTAAGGTCGCAGCTGCTTGCTCAACTCCATCGCCAACCTCTAATAGGTAGTCTTGATGGTCATTTTCTTAATTTCTGTGGATTTTTGTTAAATTGGTTTTACTTTGATTGCTTGTGGTGGGTGACACGATGTGAATGTGTTGCCTTCGTTTTCCCTTCGCGGGATAGTATTGTTATGGTTGGGTGTCAATTTATTTTGAATGTCTAAATTGAAGGTAGTCTGAAATGGATGTCTGCGTATTGTATGTATATTGACCTAATATTGCTACCTTATTGTATGTATTTTGCGTCTGTTGGTGCTCAAAAGTGCGTCACTTGTTTGTTTATTCTGCGATTGTAACCTTATATTGTCTATATATTGCATAACGACGACGGGCCACTGTTATACCTCTATAAGGAGAAAGTATAGATCTGTTTACATATCGAGCTGTACGAAATAGCTCAACTAAACAATATAAACAAGAAGTATGCTAATGATGACAACAACTCCAAAACAAAAGCACAATTTGAAAACCAAATTAGAAGTACATCCCTAGTGGTATTGATTAGATGTACTACCCAATTTAGTTTCAAAAAATGAAAATTGATGCATATTTCTACTCCGAAATGAGTACAATTTATCTGCCATGTCTACAAAATGCATACAGTTTATCTGTCATGTCTACAAAATGAATACAGTTTATGTGCCATGTAAGGCAATTAGCCACTACCACCGACTATACAATATTCCTATCACCATGTACAACATGGCCGCAGACCCTGTAAATGATTTCACGTTGCTACATAGAATAACTAAAGCAAATAGCTCTATCAACCTGGATGGATCACCATATAAAACAGCTCCACCAAAGCTTCCATTTCTGCATATTCATATAAAGGATAAACTAAAATAATTAAATTCAAACTGAATTCCCAAGTGATAAGTGAAGACTGAAATCAATTGAGAAACATTATCACATTTACCTCATATATACTCCTTCAGTCGATAATAGGTGATCATGGATGGGTCAACTTTATCCAAAGAAATGTCGGCATTGAGATACTCGATGAATTTGACTGTCATGATTCCGCAAGAAATGTCAGGCCAATAAGTTCATAAATTAGAACTGCACTTATTTTCAATACCGATAAACTCCACTAAATTAACATAGTTTAACCATCACATTGTTGCGGCACATCTCCAATGCTGCAAATTGTGAATGAATTAAACTTGGACATCTTCATCCCCTTTTGCTTCACCTCTTCAACCTCAGAAGCGTCATAAAAGTGCATATCGTACAACACCCGTGCCAGAGTAGCACTAATAGACTCAAGATATTTGACCAGCTTGGAATTTGAGGTAAAAGCAATATAGGAGACATACATAGTCGCAATATGTCTCACGAAGTCG